GGCCCGAACCTCCCGCATGCGCATCGCATTATCAAAAAACCATATGGATAGGTTTGCCGTGGCGGTACGGCATGCGTTGCTGTGTGGTTGCCGATCGTAGGCTTTTAGCCTTCTGACCAACGACACCTTGTCGCTTCCCCTCAACTTGGCACTGAGCGTGGATTTATCCCCAGGCGAACCCCATGGGCTGATGCGTTAAGTTTCGTCCCGGCATGCTTGTTCCCTATCCAAGCATAGCGTGACGATGCTTTCCTTTGCTTGTCAAACCTATTTAACCTACTTGACCATCGTGTCTCCTCGGTGCAGCATTATCGTCACTTCTGTGTGCTCTTTTCGTAATAAGTCAGAACAACATGCCGTTGAACGACGATAAGGGCGACATCGCCCATTATGAGGAAAAGCACGATCATAATATCCTAGGAGATGTTGATAGGGCTAAAGACGATGCTATGCACTTTGGCCACTTGAGTGCTGAGGAGCTGGCGATCGAACTGAAGTTGAGAAAGCGAATTGACACCTTGATTATGCCGCTTGTGATCTTGGTATACCTACTCAATTATATTGACAGGCAAGTCGTTTAGATCAACACACAATGGATGACATGCTGACATGTTGTAACTAGGAACAACTAGTTAGTCTCACCTAACTTGGACTGATGTCTCTGTTACTGAATGACATCATGCAGTGCCGCTGCAAGGCTACAAGGCCTCGAAGATGCACTGAATCTTACAGAAAGTCAATACGAAACCGGTCTTTCACTTCTTTTTGTTGGATACGTGGGTTGGTCCCTGTCGCTCTAGAAGCCACCTATACTAATAGCACATCAGATTCTCATGCAAGTCCCGTCCAACCTGGTAAGTTGCAGACACTCCTCTTCCAGATCGACAAATACATTGACATGTGATAGCTCTTGAACTACATTGGCAGACCCAGCCTATACCTAGGTTTCTTTACGACTGCTTGGGGCTTGGTGTCACTCTTGACGAGTCAAGTCGTGAACTCCAGTGGGATTCTCGCATGTCGATTCATTCTCGGTCTGGTGGAAGCACCGGTGAGTACACTTCCTGGCCTCTTTTCTAGTCGCGTAACTAAGGTCGAGTAGTTCTTTGCCGGTGTCCTCTTCTATCTCAGTAAATGGTATACGAAGAGCGAGCTAAATCTGCGCATGGCCATCTTTTACTCTGGATCACTGATTTCTGGTGCATTTGGCAACTTGATCGCCGCCGGGATTCTAAGTGGCCTCGATGGTGACTTGGGCCTTGGAGCATGGCAATGGGTAAGCGCATTCTGAATTTCCCAGCCGGGGAAGTTATTGACCATTCTATAGTTGTACATCATCGAGGGAGCGATAACAATGGCAGTCGGTATTGCCATCATGTTCATTCTACCAGACTTCCCTGATACATGGCGACTCCTATCTCCTGAGATGAAGCATGTCGCCAATCGAAGACTTGCTATTGAAGCAGCCGAGGCCGATGTCGACGAGAAGGGCGGCATGAGCCAGATCCAAGGCATGAAATTGGCTTTTGCAGACCCGAAGACCTACATCCTTGCCATCGCCTACCATGCGGTTACTGGAGCTGCAGGTTTCCAGAACTTCTTCCCAACGTTGACTCAAACGCTTGGCTACAGCAAAACTATAAGCCTGCTTCTAGTCGCACCACCATACATCTTCATCACCATCTGGAGTCTGGTGCATGCCTTCGCCAGTGACAAGTTTAAGAACCGATTTTGGTTCTTCGTTTACCCAGTGGTACTGGTCATTATTGGGTCACTCGTTTTCATGTTCACAAACGATTTTGGTCCAAAGTATTTCTCTTTCTTCCTGCTCGTATTTGTCTTTGCCCAGAACGGGACGGTAAGTCTTGTTTAACGAAGCGCCGTTGGCTAGCACTTACTGACATCGTGTACCAGATGTACGCATGGATTGCCAATGCCATTCCTCGACCCCCTGCGAAAAGAGCTGCGGCGCTGGCGTTCATCAATAGTGTTGGGAATGCAGCCTCGATTTGGACACCGTATACTTATAGGAAGTCGTTCGACAGGCACTATTACATTGCACTCGGCATTGTTATCGGCCTTTCCTTGCTCTCAGGCATCATGGGCATAGTCTTACGCCTCTACCTCCAATACCAAAACCGGCAATTGGAGAGGATGGAAAATGATGATGTACAGCTTAAAGAACGCGACTTGAAGAAACTTCAGCAGACCGCTGAAATCGAGGGTATTGATGTTGGTGTTGCGAGGCAGCTCCAGAAAGGCTTCAGGTACATGATTTGATTTGCGCTCGGCTTTTGTCGAACCTAGCAAACACCGTATACCGAGTATAAGAAATCACATCTACACAGACTAGCATCTTCATGCAAGCTGTCTTCGTTCCCTTAAATCCTGCAGATGTCATGCCCTCATAAGATGCGTATTAGGGTTGTTGTACCGTTCACAAGTCCGTACTTTATGCAGGTCTACAATCCTTCAAGATTCAGCGCTGACAATCTTGGAGCGCGATAACAGGGAAACGTCTAACGTGGCCCTTTCAATCTTATTAATCGCGCTCGGGATTTCGCTGGAAAACGTTCTTCCCTCTGATACTGGACTGTGAGGTCTACCCAATCAATAGTCGATCTAGTCGTCAAGCGAGAATTACACATGTGTGTCAGTGATCTGGCACCCTGCACAGGCATTGGCGCAGCACATTTGCTCCGGGCCCCGCTTTTACTGCCTTTCCTGGCGACCTTCTTAGCAATTGTTTTGTAAGCGGAGACTGAGCCTCAGGCTGTCGGTGAGGAACTGGCCAGTGACAGTACGCTATTCCATCTCCTGCTGCCGGAAACACGACTATTGATCTGCTTGCAGCGGTTACCGGTATCAGACAGACCCACGATTTACAGTGACACGGCCAAACAACAGCGTGCAGACGTGGTCGGACCCAGATATCCAAGCAAGAAGGAGACCGCAGGTGGAGTGACTAGTTCAAGACTGATAGATCAGGTTATATAAAGTAGATGCTGCCCATCGTGACGGTAAGGCTTTAGAGCAGAAGTAATCACCTGCAACTCACCATCCTTCGAAGCGACATTGAACCTCAGCCTGATCACTGATAATCATCTTCTGTGCACATCATTCCTAAATAAACACAATGGCTTCCCTCTACGACTTCACCGTTGCAGTCTATATCCATGGCCTTGAACAGTTGCAACATGTCCTAAAGAAAGGCGAAGAGTGGTCGAAGGAGAATGGCAAGCCAGAAGACTTCGTTGTCGGGGGCCGCATCATTGAGGACATGCATGCCATGCCCTTCCAAGTTCAAATCTGCTGCAACACCGCAAAGAACACCTGCACTCGCGTTGCAAAGCTCGACCTCCCCTCTGTCGAAGACAATGAGAAGACTCTTCCGGAACTTTATGCCAGGATAGAAAAGACCATTCAAATGCTCAAGGGGATCGACAGGTCCGCTTTTGACGGTACGGAGACAAGAGAGGTCAACTTCAAGGCCGGCAAATATGACTTGAAGATGGAGGGTATTTCATATGCACAGCGGTTTGCGCTGCCTAATTGTGAGTGTCATGTCCACCCGTGTCCTGTCATAACATATGGAAGACTTCCGGAATGCTAACAATCCGTGCCTTGCTAGTCTTCTTCCACTTGACAACTGCATACAACATCCTTCGCAAGGCGGGCGTGCCGCTTGGTAAGGGCGACTTCCTGGGCCAGATCGCATGAGCATGCCGTCAAGCAGCACTTGGCATTGTTTTCGAGGACTACATAAGTGGCGCTCAGCGTACGCGTCGGGTAGAATTATTTGTGATGTGCAAGATGAAATTGAGTTTATGCTCCATGGGCATCCCACAGCAAGCTTCATTTTTAGCCGAGGCGAAACAACCTCGGCTTAGTCTGCAAACACCGACTAGCCAACCGTATCTTTGATAATTACCACCCACACCTTGACATGCAACAGTATCATACTCTTTTGGTTCGTTTCCTTATCCAGACATTGAGCCTTCTACCAGTATTCAAAGAAGGGAAGCCCACATAGTCTGCAATTTTTTTCGCCTTAAGACATCCTTCGAACGTGCAATCCTCTCGGCCGCGACACACACCATGTCTAAAGAGTTCAGCACGAAGGACGTGCAGGAGCACAGTACAGTTGAGAAGGGGCTGTATATCATCATTGACAACGATGTCTACGAGATGGGAGGATTTGTAGACGAACACCCTGGTGGCGCAAAGATCTTGAAGCGAGTTGGTGGGAAGGACGCAAGCAAGCAATTCTGGAAGGTATGTACAATTGGAAGACCTACTTGGACAAGTGGCGTCTCTATGGCATGACCTAAGTGCCGAGGGCTTGTCGCATCAAGAATGTAAATGGAGGTAGCTGATCAGTATTTTTGGCTTGCAGTATCACAACGAATCTGTTCTGAAGAAGTACCAAGACCGATTGAAGGTTGGGAGCGTGAAGGAGACAGCCAAGTTATAGAGGGATTTGAAGGCGGGCTGCCACGACTTGACGATACAGAGCTCGATGACATATAGTAGATTTTCACCCAAGACTATACCATTCAATCCTGCTTCTCAATTCTTGCTTCACCTCAGTTTCCTACCTATGTCTTCTTGGGAGTACCGTGAAGATGCCTTAGCCTGCCTGCAGTCATGTCTAACCTCCCACTGGCTTGTGGCTTATCTGCGAAACCAAGATACCGCTACGACTTATCTAACTGCCAGTGTGAGCGAAGGCGTGCTGCAATTATATACACCTTTAATATGGATCACTGAGTTTATCAAAAAGACTGTCTTACTGACTTGCGGCGATCTCTAAGCCACACAGATAATGACGCCAGCACTTCAGAATATCTCCCCGATCATCGACTGTGAGCAAGGCAAACACCGATATTGGTAGCTTTTCAAACCCCACCCCCAAACACATACCCACCGTATGAACCGCTCGGGGGACAAAACCTTTAAACGGATATTATTTAGGTTCAGGGCAGGAAGATAGCAAAAAATGGACTTGCTGGGAATCGAACCCAGGACCCCATCCAGACGTTGGTTTGAAGGTTCCGAGAACCGACAGACTAATGCTGCTAAGGATGTATTATACCACTAAACCACAAGCCCAAGCTATTATTGGTGACCATATTCACAAATAATGAATATGTATATTTTCTTTTGTCCTACTCAAGATGTAAAGCTCTCTGCTAATTGTTCCGCAACGAGACTGTTGTGATGACGAAGACTGGCGGTAGCCTTTTGTCTCATGTCGAATTCCTTTCGGACTTTTGTAAAATTCCCACGTGTTCCATGCATGTCTCTCAACTCACCAACGAGTCAAGATCTGAAGTGCAGACCTGTATTTAGGTATGTGTACGGCAAGATTAACATAAAGAGCAGAGAGATATGAGCACGCTAGATGAATCAAAGAATACGGAACGGAGGAGGGAAAGTAGATGAAAAAAAGATCTGCTTCCATGCAGGCAAGAATGCCGAGACTTTCGAGATCTTTTGCTTCTCTAGTTCGTGCCCAATTTCCTCGAGGCATTCCAGATACCACCATCACCGCCAATAACTCGGTGAATGAATAGAATAGGCCGAACCGACTGCCGTCTAATCCCGCATGAGAGCGCCAACGCTATCAGTACTACAATGCCGAGATAGATTGTATGGAATGAGGAGATGGTCCTCCGACGCGGAAGCCTCTTGTATAGCAACAATTGGTAGCAACAGGAAGAACAAGTAAAGACATAGAACACCAATGCAATGCTCGTGTTATTTTCGCTGGAAATAGCCTGCTCCCACAATGAAGCGTCTCCAACCTGGGATTTTCCAGGTTGGAATATGTTTTCAGTTCCTTTGGTCACAGAACATGCTGGACCTTGTCTCATGTGGACGACCGTCACAAATTTGACGATTATGTATTATCTGCAGGTCAGCTGCATTAGCGCAGCTTAGTCTGACTCTGGAGTCTCTTCTTCTTCATGAATTCGTGCGGTTTGGCTGGATCCTGTGGATCCATGAACATCAGAAGCGCTGTGCTCAACTCCTTGAAATCTACTGGTTTTGTCAGATATGAGTTGAAACCGGCGTCAACGCATTTTTGATAAACGTCTCCCAGTACGTTGGCAGAGAGCGCAACGATTGGCAGATGAGGGTGGTTCTCGTCTCTCTCCCATTGACGGATTTCTTTGCAGGTCTGGTAACCATCTTTGTTAGGCATGTGCAAATCACAGAGGATAACTGAGTAGAAGTCGTGAGGCTTGTTGAAGACGTTTTCGGTACACTGAACGCCGTCCAGCACCTTGTCGACCTGGATGGACACTTTGCTGAGAAACTTGAGGATGACCTGACGGAAAAGAGTTAGTCTAGTGTACGCGACTGCATCATGGAAGTCGATACAAGAAAATCACACTTACCATTTGATTCGTTGGATTGTCCTCAACAAGCAATACCCGCTTGTTTCTGTTTCCGAGACGTTTCTTCAGGTCGTCGAACACTTGTTTCTGGTTCAACGCGACTTGTTGCGCGCTATCCTGATTGCGGTCGGTACTCATCTCTCTCTCCTTTTGGGGGTCGAAAATGACGGCGAAACGCGAAGGCTTTAACGGCTTAAAGACAAATCGCAGCCTGCGATCCGCACTCAGCTTCTCATAGTTATGCTTGTGCGCTTTTTCCATGATTTTGCGTCGCTGGGCAAAATCGGTGATGATCACTATGGTTGTCGTGGAGTGCGCAGGTGATGAAAGCACCTGGTCCATCAAGGCTATGATTTCATCCACATCCTGTAAGACGACAACGATGTGAGTGAAGATCACTGGGTCACCGCCTCCGATCATCTTCTGACATGCCATCAGATTCTCTTGTGCAGTGATCTGATGAGGGATGTTACTGGGCAAAGTCTTCTCGATGTGATGAACGGTAGCATCACGACTGTATTTCAAAGGGCACACGACCAGGATAGAGAACATCAATGGCGTGGAGGGACTAGAGAGTGCAGGAGACGTTGATATTGTAGGCGCCTTTTCTGTCTGTACTGAGGTTGTTGAGCTGCCAGCCTTTGAATCTTCAGATTCGCTCGTATTTGATCGTTTGAACTTCAGGTCTCCAGGCATCGCAAGCTTCATAGGTGACGTTGGCTCAGCCAAATATGAAGATGCAGATGAACGTTCAGATCGGATGCTCTCAGTTCTTTGAGCAGAGCGCAATGATGGGTCAGAGCTGGCAGAAGATGGGGAACGCTTGTTGGTGTCGATCGATGACGCGTAAGGCGCTGGTGACGATGTATGTACAGGTGCGAACTTAGGTGATGGCTGTGGATGCACTTCCCCAGGAGATGGAACTGAGGCCGTATTTGTCAGGTATGGCAGCGCCGAGCCTGTACCCTTGCGTACGGAAGAGAATGGCAGTACAGGGATGGTTGGGATGTTCGGAGTGGCAATTGGCGGTGGTGGCTGATCATCTTCAGACGGCAGTGAAGTCTTGATGTAGAAGGAGAAGGTGGATCCTTTTCCGGTGACACCCTTTGCACTCATATCGCCACCGTGAAGTTGTGCCAATTGTCTTGAGATGACAAGGCCGAGGCCTGTGCCTCCATGTTGACGAGTGCTGCTGCCATCAATCTGGCTGAAGCGCTTGAACAGGTACTCGGCTTCTTTATCGGTGAAGCCCCGCCCGGTGTCGACGATCTCGAACATGATGTATCGCTCGTTCGACTCAAGTTCGCCATCGTCACACTGATGAGATGTGCAACGGACAAAGACTTCGCCTTTCTGGGTGAATTTGATTGCATTCCCAATGACGTTGAGCAAGATCTGTCGTATCCGGAAACGATCACCCTTAATCTGCGAGGGGACGTCTTCTGCCACCAGATAATTGAGCTCTAAGCCTTTGTCTATCGCCATTGCAGAAGTCAGGTCGTTGACCTCCTCAATGACTGCCCTAACATGCAGCCAATCCATGTTGAGCTGAATCATACCAGCTTCTGCTTTTGACAAGTCCAATATATCATTGATGAGACCTCTCAAGCCTTCAGTGCTCGCACGTATGATATTCACATGCTCCATTTGCTCTGCTGTCAGGCTGCTATCGATCAGGAAGTTGACCATTCCTGTGATACCATTCAAGGGGGTCCTGATCTCATGAGACATATTGCTCAAGAATCTGGACTTTTCGTCCATAGTTTCCTTGAGGTCACGCTCGAGTGCCTTGTGATCGTTGATATCGGTACATGTTCCATACCAAGTCTCCTCTTCAGTGCCCTTTTGAAGCATCGACTCTGCGAGAAGGACTCGTACAAGATGCCATCGGTACTCTCCATCCTTTGTTTTGAGTCTCACTTCGGTTGAATAGGAGGGCTTTCCATCCGTCTCCCGTGAGACCTTCAGTATACCAGTACTTGCTAGCTCCGAAAGCTTGCGTTGAGGCATATGGGTACTGATTGGCGTCGTGCTATCAGAACTGGCTGGCGGTCTCTCAGTATCTGGAGAGCCAGCAGATGAGAGCTGGGAAGCTGAGAATGACCTTCTCGGGTCAGGCGGGAGCGATGTCGGCACATTCTTGGGTCTGTCACTGCTCTCGTCGAATTTGGGCAGGCGACATTTAGCTAGGTCGTCAGGGTGTACGTGATCCATGAACCCCACCCCTAGGGCCTGCGCCTCTGTCTGGCCGGAATAGAAGAGCCATCTCGAATTACAGAACGTGACCCCCTTCGATTTGTTCACTGCGAATACGATCTGAGGACTTGAGTTTGCAAGCGCACGGTATTTCGCTTCAGATGCGGCTGTCTCTTGTGCACGAGCTGAATTTTGTTCGGCAATATGCTGCTCATGAAAGTCCATGTTCGTACCAATCCAATGCACAATGTTCTGTCTCTTGTCCTTCAGCGGTGCCACACGAGCATAGAACCACCTGTAGCTCCCATCGAAACGATGCAACCGGACTTTCTGCTGCAATTGTTGCCCTGTACGTAACGACCTATTCCAAGCGTCCATGTAGGTCGGTCGATCATCCGGATGAATTGTGTCCCAAGGCTCGGTCAGTACTTGTTTGGGCTCCTGACCTCGATAGATCAAGAACTTGGAGTTGACCCATGTCACCTTGCCGGTGTCAGGTTCGGCGGCGAATATCTGTACTGGTAAGGAATCGATGATAGTCCTCAGAAGACGCTCAGACGGCGGTAGCATGTCCCCACCGTATGAGCCCTTTCGTGCGTGAGAGTAACCCACTGGGGTTCCAGGCGTCTTGGCCTCGGTGGAAGTAGCAGAAGGCAATGCCCCAAAAGACGATTGGAAATCAGCCCCATACGAGTGTAGTTGTGAGTGGCGTCGGTCATTCCCGTCGTACACATGTGACATACTATGCCGGAAGGGGTTTCTATGTTGTGGCGATATAGGCTCGCTTGACGGACTTGTGTCTCTGGCAGAGGCAGGCCGGTTTGGGAGAAGCTTGTCAGGTCCAAGGTTGCGGTCTGTTCTTGGTCTACGATCGTTGCGGGACGTGCGAGATTCCTCGCTGTTTGTCCCTGATGCTCCTCGACTGTCGTTGCTTGAAGGCTTCCTTTGCTGTCTTGAGGGTGTTGCGGCACTGCTATTCGTGCTGCCCGACCGCTGGCTATGCCGCTTTTTGGCGTCGAAGTAGCTGTCGACTATTTCAATTCCAGACACGGCCGGTGTCCCACTGATCGATCTCGGGGCAGTCCAGCCATGCGTCGCAGGATCCCAGCCTGGTGTTCCAACGATCGACCCAGTTGGGCTATGAAGCGATCTACCTGAATAGTCAGAAGGACTTGTTATGCTTCCTGCAATAGACGCAGTAGGCTCTTCGAGTTCGGCGTTGACTAGGTCATCGAGGGTGGTGGGCTCGATCGTCATAGGTGCAGCGCTTACGACATGGCCTGAAGCAGTCCTTCGATGTCGCAAGTTCATAGCACGACCTAGCATGCTTGAAAATTGTTCCGATGTGGCGTAGGATGTCGCCATATGAGGGCCCAGATCTCGTAACGCCCTCGAAAGGTTAGATGGGTACGGTACCGTCGAAGTCAGCAGAGAGAGTATCCCGATTGGTGCTTTCCGTTCTTTGACAGAGCCTCCTTTTGATTGGCCATCGCCAACGTTTAATGGCTGCAT